TTATGATAGTCTTGCTACAACGTACAAAAAAAAGTGTAACATTGAAACACAAGACATGAATTAAACAAAACTAATATGTATTAGAAGTAAGCTCTCGTCTAAGGCTTTGTTGTGTACACATGTCAAACGTGAATACATTAACCAAGACTAAAGAAACGGGTTTTAACTACCTCAAATATCTAGTATACAAAGTTTATGTGAATCAAAAGGAAAATCTCGTCTAAGGTCTTTTTTCAATCAAAATCAAATTAGAAACATCAGTGGCACATCAAAATATTAAATTTTAAAAATCCAATTTGAGTCATAGTTTTTAACTCAAAATTAAAACTCAAACACCTCAATCTCTGCTTGAAATTCAAAATAAAGTTTAAACTAATATCCAAGAAGACAACAAACAATTAAAACAAACCAAGCATGATTTTCTATGATTTGTCATAGTACCATATCAATTTGTATTGTATATGTGTTTTTGGTTTAGTATGTACGTAAACTTATATGTTTCACTTTTATGGTTATGCTCACATTCACATCTATTATATACGTTGTATAATTAATATAACTTGATGATAATTTTTTGCTCTGTTTGCGATTGATAAATGGAAAATAATTTGTTGTCTAATTTTGGTTTGTGATATAAGCTATATGTTTTGTATTTATAATATAAACGTAAAAATATTGGTCGATAAAAATGATGTATTAATGGATTTTTTCGTTTGACTAACTTACTTTATTCATATTTTAAATAAACATAGATTGAAACCAAACATGTATTCATGATTAAAGAAAAATCTTTTATTAAATTTTGTAACAAAAACTCAAATCATTAACAAGAAGAGCACATAAAAACATTAAGTTTAAAGTCATTCAGACAAAACTAAAAATTTAAACGGGCCAAATGGGCCAGTCCGCGTCCAAATGGGCCAATCTCTTACGGACCAAAAAAATTTTCAACCCATACGGGTTGGCCCGTCACGGGTTACGGATTCTAAATGTGTGTCCAACCCCGCCCCGTTGCGGTCTTACTTGGGCCTAGCCCGCGGGCCGCAACCCATGTTGACATATCTAGGTAACTTCATGATGCATTTGAATATAGCCTATACTTGTAACGAGCGTGTTTAATTTGATCCAAACGAGTATGGAGAGTTCATACCAATTTGGACATGACGTACGTAATTACAGGTCCAAATTTCGCTATTCACAAATAATTGAGCAGTAATATGAATTCAACC